AAAAAAACCCAGGAAATTACTTTTTCTCTTGTGAAAGAACAACGAAAAATATCAAGCATCTTCAGAAAGTTTACTGTCTCAACAAATACAAGTTTAGTCTATGGAATCAATATCCCCAGAGAAGGGTTATTTCAGTCTTTATATTAAATGCTTATAAAAACATCACCTTCTTCCTTGTGAAAGATAAAGGCTGACGATAGCTTAAACCACATTTAAATTTCAGATTCCTGACCACAGAATTCTCCAGATAAATAACAAGGGGAAATTAACTACAGTGAATATTACATTTGCCACCTAAGACCAAGCAACATATTTAGCACGATATGGGTTATTGAAGTCAAATTTGTATGATGGCATCTGCTTTTCACAAGGATGTGGAAATCTTGCAAGAAGGAGAGGGAGGTCTGTACCTCAGAGGTAGGGTCAAAGACAGGAAAAGAAGTTTTGCTTGACCTCTTCTTCATGGGAGATTTTGGTTCTAGAATACTATCTGATCTTCCAGAATCCTGGCATGTAGTGAAAGAAAGCAAAGGGTCATCTGTGAATTTAGTAGAGGGATTCTTCTGGAGATGATGTATCCTACACGTCTTTCACAGTGGAATTGCCCATGCCCTCCTTAACCCACTCGTAGAACTATTTGGAGAAACTCTCCAAGCAAAAATTCATGGTACATCTTAACCACTAAGCTCTTTTTCCCTAGGTTACAGAAATAAACAGTCAGTTTAACAATAAGTGTCAAGAGACTGTCCTGATAAGAATGGACTCAGGTTAACAGGACAGCCATAAGACTCAGCGTAAGTTGATAGTTAAACATGTATGATTTTGTTCTGGGGTTTCCTTTAGTACAGATTACAAAAATGTTTGTCAAGAATTCATTTTAGGGTAGCTGAAGAACCTGATCACCAAAGAAGCCATATGAAATCCAGTGATTCGCAAGATGGAAAAAAAAACCACAAAAATTTTGAGGACAAACTACTGTAGATAATGTAAAAGGAAAAAGTTACTTACTATACCAGAAATTCCACATGCTGGCATTATTCTCTCCTACATTTCCACTAAACCAGCACCTCCAGAAGAAACCTTCATGATGGAAAGTGGCCTTTTCTCCCTACCGGGGGAAAAAAAAAAAAGCCATTATCATACAATTTTTAAATGGCTGAAAGAATCAAGTTCAACCGAAATTAGATGTGGAGGTAAAAAACACCACCATTATAATGAAACACAGCCTGTCTGAATATAGGTTAGCTATAGCATATCTAAACATTTATACTTCCTTTGAAAGTATGTCATATTGCAAAAGTAGTATCACAAAGACAAATTCATTTGAGAGTTGATTACAACTGGTTACAAGAGGTTTTGAAGCAGGCTTGTAAGCCTCCAGAAGGTCAAAATGAGCATATTTTAAAGTTCATACAGAAGTAAATTCTTACAAAATAAACACATCCAAGAAACATACATATATAATTCTCATTATAAATAAAAATGTCCATACTAACCACAGCATCTTCAGGTGCTTTTGAGCACCTTCCTGTTTCTGTAGCAAGAAGCCAATAATCAGTTCCAAATGCCACCAAAAAAAGCAAAACCCCCAGAGCCGCAAAGAAGCCTCCAAAAAATATGCCTACACTCAGTTTCATTATTGAAGTTATCTTCACAAAAAAAAAAAAAAAAAAAAAGGAACTACTTTTTTAAATTACTTAAGAAGAAGCAGTAAAATAGATAAAATTTTTGGGAAAATGACTAAAAAGCTGTTTGGAGAATATAGCTCATATCTGAAGAAGTTTCTCTTCACTTGACTTTCTGCCTGTGTTTCCCAATGCCCTATGAGTTGCTTTGTGTGTCCTAATTTGTGTTCCATGTAACTGACTCAAGCCTGACAGATGAAAAGGGCCTTCTATTTTAGGACACTGATGGCAGAGCTTCATTCTGTTTCTCCGTCTGGGCAAGGCCAGTCAGAAATAGCTGACCTTCCCCTAACTAATCAGGGATTGACTTGAAATATTATTGCAGCTGGTGCATCAACATCAGTGGAGATGGCGATGGAGATGCAATGGCTCTGTCCGTCCACGTGAACCACGTTACAGGGCACGTAGTAGTAGCAAGGACTTCCAAAGTTCAGTCCTGGTGGTGAACGTTTCCTTGGCTGCTAGCAGGGAAGGAAACACATGCAACACTTTGGAAGTTACTGTAAGTCATGTTAATAAATGAAGGCTGAGATTTTTTTATGGAACTTTGAAAACATGGTAGCCAAATTGCAAAGATGCTTTTGAAAAATCCTAACTTTTGTTACAAATCCAGTTAGCTTTAAAAATCTACATCTTACCCTTGAAGTAATAGCTTTAATGACACTAAACTAAGCATTTAGCTGCTTTATTTATTCAGATGCATCTTATTTGCATATATCACAAATGCATGCAATTAGAAATTCCTCCCAGCACCTGATAAAGAAACTTCAATCTTTTTAAAAAAGAAGACACTTTTCCATACGTGTGCTTTGGCCATTTTGGAAGGTGATGAGGTAACATATTTAAACTCCAAGGACTCACTCCACAAGAAAAAGGCTTTTCCAACAACTTCTTTTCATGCCAAGCAGGCCTTCCTGAACATCTCTAGTGGATTACCAGGCATGCTCCTGTGAAGATTTGTTGAGTTCATTATGCACCAGATCTTGCAGTCCTTACCCAACAAATTTCCACTGGCATTATCTAGCACCAGAGTAGAAAACATTCCACTGATTTCCCATGCTGGGAAGTGCTGGGACCAAGAGAAAGATGAAGTCAGTTTACTCCAGAAAACATTCGTCACAAAATTTTATTGCAACAGACTTAGGTCTCCAGAGGGACTCCTACTTCCAATACACACTATCTGTTTGGAACAGTGCAGCAGTGTGCTGAAGGTGAGCAAGGAAAAGACTGTTTCTACCACCTCTCCTCATTTCCAGACAGATGAACCAGAGATGTGTCCTGAGTGTTTTCATAACACTACACTATCTGCCCAACGTCATATTTGCATTTGTTACAAGTCATATTTTATTCAAACCTTATACTATACTAACTTCAAACACAAGCACATCTGATATTTTGTGGCCTTTTTGCACTGCACAGTTTCAGCGTATGCAGAACAGTGAATGAATTTTCAGTAAAACAGACTCTTTTTGCCATATTTGCTTTCCCTGACAGCCACTGATGCAGTTCCCTTTGCTATAGCAGAAAGTGATGTTTGGAAACACCACTTTGGAAAGTGATGTCTTATATACTTTATTAAAGAAAAAAAAAATCTTCAGGAAAAAGAAGAATGCATAGAATGTGCATTGAAACCATAAGGTATATTTTAGAAAAGGATTACTTGCAGCTTAGAATAATGCTTTAACTTTTGGTCAGACTAGAATTGGATTAGATGATTGTTATAAGTCCCTATCAAGTGACATATTCTAGTCTAGTCTAGTCTAATGTGTCCAAAACAGAAAAGGGGGAAAAAAAAAAAAAAAAAAAAAAGGTAGGATTCAGTTCAGGACTAACATGCCCAAATTTAGACAATTTCACATGAGCTAGATGTTTTCCCATTATAATCAATAGCGATACAGTCAATACAGTCAGTGAAGCCTGGAAAGCAGTTCAGCACAACCTAGATGAGACTCAGGGAGCTCAGTTCAATCACTCAGGCAGACACCTCACTCCAACTAGTTCCCAGGGTATCCTGCTGGCTTTTAATTGCCACTCCAGAAGGGCATATTTCTCTCCCAGTTTTAACCATATCTGCCAGCCCCACACAGAGGTTGGGTAGGGTACCCTCTACCACCTCAAATGGCACTAGGAGCCTACGTGATGGTGACTGAATCGAGCCTGGACAGAGGGATACAGTTGCCATGCTGTCATCTCTCACCATTGGATGCTCCAGGATGTCTAAGACATCTACATCTGGCAGGCATGACAAGAGACTTAGAGGAGGCCCACACCTTTTTTGAATAACAACTACAGGCCACGTTCACACCACATAAAAGTGATGCTAGGTACCTCTGTTTAGACAGCTGAAACCAGTCTCTGTTAGCTGGTCTGGTCATTCTGGAGGCACTACTGACTGCTTTAACCAGACCTCCATCGACTCCAACTGCAGCCCAGATCCCTATTTCACACGGAGACGTCTGAATGCAAAGGTTTTAATCTGGAACTGAATTCTACTCAGTGGGCTGGTGTTCCCAACCATTTTGCTGTTGTATGGGTGGCGTTACAAAGCATTGGCCCAAAGCTCAAGAAATTTTACTCAGTGAAATAGTCAGATAGTCACGACATAAACAAAATCAATGATACAAAGTTCTTCATGATAGCCATTAAAAAAAAAAAAAACAGATAAAATTTAATTATTTCTGATGTGCTGTTTAACATAACGCCATTTAGCTCATCTTAAATAATGTTATTTTTCAGCATTATAGGATACGTGTTTATAACCTCCAAAATACCAGTTGGACAGTGCTTTGTATAAGCACTTCAAAAGAGGACAAACCTGAGTTTGGTGAATTCTGACAGTGAAAATAATAAAAACACTTTTCACTCTCATGCTTTAGTTTACAAATATCAAAGCTCTTTTCAAAGATGGTTATGCACTGCTGTTCATACCTGTAACTAAGGAAACTGTGGCAGCAATGGTGAAATAACTTTTTCAACATTACATCAGAAGGAAAAAGAGAACTCCAGCCACCTGACTCAGCCACTGAACCACAAATAATAAAAGAAATAAAATGGCTGGTTTCAGTCTTATTGTACCTACCTGGCTTCAGGTCAGAAGTAAGTCAGTGACTCCGTGAACCCATTTCTGCATGAGAGTAACTTCCTCTCATGAGTAGCTTCACTGAAATTAGTTTGCATGAAAAGTTTCACTGAATTCAAATGACAGCTGAATCACTGCCTGTGCAGTACAAGTATTTCTTTTTAACATACTGTACATGCACTCTGGTCTCAGTTTAGCATGTTCATCCCGAGAGGATCTAATTTAATTATTCTTTTTTATATTTATGGCACATTCTCTGGCAGTGCTGTCTTCCAAATACTCTGACATCTCCAGTATTATGCCCGGCTATGTCAGGAATGAATCAGAAGCCATGTTAAGACTTGTTATCTCAGCTTAAAAATTCATGTTATCCACTACTTGAATACTCACAGAAAGTCTCAGGGCATTTTTTCTTCAATTAAATTAAATTCTGAAGGTTCCTCAATAGAAGAGAGAAAGTTTCAAGGCAGGGAAAACAGGGCCAGACTTATCAAGCCAAAACAATCATTATTCTGAATCTTAAAGTCATTCCCCAACTCCTTCCAAAACTCCTAAATTTCTACAGAAAGTCTGGCATTTTAAAACCAAAGTAGCTTAGCCAAATTTATCCCTAGTATAATGACAATGAAGTAATTAAATCAGTTTTAATATACAATCAGTTTGGCCAATTAAGCCCAACATTCATTGATTTTGTTGATTCATAGTGTGAAGATTGAAGGCCCCCACATAATGGATGGATTCCAATCTCATTTAACAAAGCTGGCAAAAGTTTTATGATTTTATTTCCTTTTATTTTCCAGACAGATAGGGCTAAACTGACTCCTAAATCTGCATATTTTATTTATGTATCTAAATAGCTCCAGCTTCAACATAGTATGTGAGCCCCTTCTTGTATTTAAAAATAGAAAAGAAGAAAAAAACAAACCAAAACAATAGCAGGCTGTTTCTTTCTTCCTTTTCCATCTGAAGGAGAAAAAGCTTGATTAGTTTATGGGAGGGGGAGGTTGTTTATTTGCTTGTTTATGTTTGTGTGTGATTGAGTAAATATCGTGTGTGTATGTTTGGAATTGCCAGGCAGCTCCTTATCTGTGCTGGCAGATATGTCCATGATCTAAAAACAGCCTTTTAGAACTGGCTGCATGTCTCACTATACACCAAGAAACAATTTCAGCAGCTGCCTCAGAGCTAAGTCCTTCTGAGACCTCACTGCCCATTTACTGTTGAAGGAAAACATTTTGAACAGCGATGGAGTATCTCACCCGCTGATTCAGATCCTCATCCTGTCCATCCTCCCCAGCTGGGCAGGATGTCATCCATTGCACCTACACGATTAATTGTCAGCAGTGTGCTGGGCAGGCGTACAGAGTATAGTACACCTTGTCCATTAAATCTTTGTCTGGGATTCATCTTACCTAACATTAGACAGCTGCAGGGTAGCTGGTCACCTCAGGTTTCCTTTACAGTCATATTGGCACTTTTATGGCACAGTCCATCTGACCTATTTTTGGATGACTACTTCAATGTGCAATGAATCACGCCCTAAAAGTGCAATTACTTTTTTCCTTTTTTTTTTTCTTCTCCACTGACTAAAGGAGGGCCTGGGATAACTCGTTTGAGATATGACCACTTTTATCTTAGTACTACAGTAAATCAGGCCTCAAATCACAGAATCACAGAATGATTGAGGTTGGAAGGGACCTCTGGAGATCACCTTGTCCAACCCCCCTGCTCAAGCAGGGCCACCTAGAGCTGGTTGCCCAGGACCATGTTCAGGCAGCTTTTGAATATCTTCAAGGCCGGAGACTCCAGAACCTCCCTGCGCAATCCATGCCAATGCTCAGTCACCCTCCTAGTGAAAAAGTGTTTCCTGATGTTCAGAGGGAACCTCCTGTGTTTCAGGTTGTGCCTATTGCCTCTGGTCCTGTCACTGGGCATCACTGAAAAAAAGCCTGGCTCTGTCCTCTTTATACCCTCCATTCAGGTATTTATAGACATTAAAAGATCCCCCTGAGCCTTCTCTTCTCCAAGCTGAACAGTCCCAGCTTTCTCAGCTTTTCCTCATAAGAGAGATGTTCTAGCCCCTT